AATTTAGAGCTTCCTGATACGCCTGACCTCACTGTCACGTCGCCACCATGTTTATGCGTGGTGCAGTTCGTTCGCTTGCGCCCAGGCACGGCAACATACATTTTATTTACCCCGGAACCTCCAGTATGTGATGGCGCCTACCTGTTTACCGCTTCATTGGACATTCTTCTGATGCACCGTGTAGCTCTACATCACTCACTGGTGACTGTTTCTACAAACCACGTATGCCTCCCTGTTCTGAACTTTGGACGTTGTGAAGAATTGCTTCCCGAAGGTATGACCCTGGGCATTAAATCACCTCTAGATGCACACGACCTTGTTGCTCTAACCATCGATGCATCGGAGCCGTCATCAGGCCGCCCTGCTGGTAGTGCAACACCTGATGACCACTTTGTTGATATGATTGCCCTAGACCTTTCACCTTCCCCAAGCCAAGACCTATGCCTTTTGTTGGCATCATACCACGATGTTTTTGATTTCGCCTCATCCCAACTTGGCCAAACATCTCTGGTAACACATTGTATTCATACCGGGGACTCATGACCCATTCATTGATGTCGTTACCATGTCTCTACTACCGAGCGCTAAATCATACAAATGGAAGTCAACAAGATGCTTGCTAAAGACATCGTCGAAACCATCTTCGAGTCTTCGGGCGTCACTTCTCGTTGTTGTAAAGAAAATAAAGACAACACCTGGTAGTTCTGTGTTGACTATCCGCACCTCAACAAGGTCACCAAGAAAAGCATCTACCCTTTGCCGTGAATAGACGATGCTTTTGATTCTCTTCATAGCACGCAGTACTTTTCATCTATAGACCTTCGCACAGGCTATTGGCAAATTGAAAACGATTGGGAGAAGACCGCCTTTATCACACCCGTTGGGCTCTACCAGTTCTACCAGGTCATGCCCTCTGGCCTGTGCAACATGTCAGCAACATTTAAGCATGTAACAGACTCTTTACTACGGGTTTTTAAGTGGTCCACATGCCTCTGCTACCTCGACGATGTCGTCGTCTTTCCACCTATGTTCACAAGTCACCTGCAACACTTGTCGACTATAATGCAGGTGTTTTGCAATGCAGGTCTTCAGTTCAACTCTTCAAAATGCCACTTTGGCCTCTGAGAGATAACCGTCCTTGGCCATCTTGTTGACGCTGCGGGTGTATGACCGGACCCAGAAAAAATATGTGCCATTACAAACATCCCCACTCCACGATCTTCTAAGGACGTTCGCTCTTTTTTTTTTGTTTATGCTCATTTTCTCCACTTTGTAAAAGATTTTGCAGTCGTTGCGCAGCCCCTCACATGCCTTCTTCAAAAGAATGTGCCCTCCTCCTGACCAAGCATCGGCCTTTTTTCACCTCGTCGACTTACTGACATCGCCCCCTGCCCATTTCGACAACTCGGCACCCACCGAAGTACGAACCGATGCCAGTGGTCATGGCATCAGTGCTGTTCTCAGCCAATACCAACGTGATCAGGATTGTGTTATTTCATACGCTAGCCGCCTTCTTTCCACCACTGAACGGAATTATTCGATTACATAGAGAGAGTTCCTAGCTCTAGTTAGGACCATCGTGAAATTTCGCCCATATCTACGGCAGATCCTTCACTGTTGTCAGTGATCCCCACGCCCTCTGCTGGCTGTCTTCTTTTAAGGATCCCACTGGTCGCCTTATTCGTTGGGCATTACGGCTTTATAAACATTCAGTGTGGTCTACAAATCTGGCCGCTTGCACCAGGACGCCGACAGACCTATCCCGTTATCTTGTAGACCCACCAAAACCTTCGGCGATGGTTACCATTATTTCGGTGCTCGCAATAACTGACCTGTTCATTTCTGCTGAGCAACGCCGTGACCCAGCTGCCCGCAAGATCAACGACCACCTCAACTCAACAGCTCTTAATTCATCCTTTCCTCTCGTCATGGTACGCAATGGCACCTTGCTTCACCGCAGTTTGCTACCTGATGGTTCTGACCTATTGCTTGCCATTACGGCGCACCTTCGTTCGAATATCCTGGCCCAGCTTCACGATGTGCCAACAGCGGGGCACCTCGGTGTTTCCCGCGCCTATGATCATGCACGCCGTCGGTTCTACTGACCAGGAAGGTATAAGTCAATCTGCCATTATGTGACCTCGTGCGACCTTTGTCAGCACTGAAGAAGTCAACACACCGACCTGCTGGCCGTCTTCAATCACTCAATGTCCCCTATGAGCCATTTCATTATGTTGGCCTGGACTAGCTTGGTCCGTTCCCTATGTCTGGCCCGAGAAATCGTTGGATCGCTGTTGCCACCCACTATGCCACGTGATTGGCAATTACTCCCACACTTCCAACCAGTTGCCCAACCTACATAGCGGAAAACGTCATACTTCAGCACGGCGAAACCGTGCTGAAGCACGGTAAACTTCAGCACGGTAAACTTCATTATTAACCTTAACTAACCGCGGCTGCATTTCCGATGGAGGCGGAAATGTTGTAGGCCCGTGTGCTCAGATTTGGGCGCACGTTAAAGAACCCCAGGTGGTCGAAATTTCCGGAGCCCTCCACTACGGCGTCTCTCATAATCATATGGTGGTTTTGGGACGTTAAACCCCACAAATGAATGAATGAATGAATGAACCTTAACTAACCATAGCAGACAGTTTCTTTCCATGGTCATTAATGACATCCTGACATCTTTCTTGACCGAGCATAAGCTAATGGGCTGGGCTACCATCCACGCATGAATGGCTTGACCGAGTGGATGAACTGAATGATTATCAACATGCTGGCAATGTACGTGTCAGCCGACCACTAAGATTGGGATTCTGGATTGCCTTTTGTCTCATTTCTGTATAATGCGCCCCAGCACGAGACGGCTGGTTATTCGCCTTTCTTTCTCTTATTCGGCCAAAATCCAACATTGCCTATGGACACAATGCCTCCTCTGTTCATGTAAATATTTTAAATACATGAATTTTTTGTCCTCACCTCGTAACAATATCCTTAACCCCGGTTTGTTCCCTGATCCACTCTGCTCTCTTTTTGTCTCTTATGGTTACTCTTATCGTTTTCCTTTCCATCGGTCGCAGTGTCGTTCTTAATTTAAGCTGAACTCTCATTGTAAGCCTACAGGTTTCTGCTCCGTAGGTAGGCACCAGGAAGATGCAGCTGTAATATACCTTCCTCTTGAGGGCTAGTGGTGGATTAGCATTCATCATTTGAGAATGCTTGCCGAATGTGATCCATCCCATTCTTATTCTTCTAGTTATTTCACTCTCATAGTTCGGCTCAGTGGCTACTACCTGCCCTTATGTAGACATATTCTTTTACCACTTCCAACGACTCTCCACTTATTACTAAGCGCTGTTTTCTGACAAGACTGTTGCACATTACTTTAGCATTATGCATATAAATTTTCAGGTCTACTCTTCTGCTTTCTGTGTCCAGTTCTGTAATCATGAGCTGTAATTCATCGCCTGCATTGCTCATCAAAGCAATGTCAGGTTGCTAAGGTACTGTTCATTAACTCATATCCCTAACCCTTCCCAATCTAGGGCCCTGAAAACCTGTTTTAGCTGAAGTGAATAGCATAGGAGAGATCATGTCTCCCTGCCTTACAGCCTTCTTTATTGGGATTCTGCCACTTTCTTTATGGAGAACTATGGTGGCTGTGGATTTGCTGTAGATTTTTTCCAGCATGTTTATGTAGGGTTCATAGATGCGCTGATTCTGTAGTGCCTGCAGCACTGCTCATGTCTTCACTGAGTCAAATGCCTTCTTGTAATCTATGAAGGCTACGTATAGGGGTTGGTTGTATTTCGCGAATTTCTCTATTACCTGATTGATATAATGAATATGGTCTATTGTGGAGTAGCCTGTACGAAAGCTTACTTGGTCCTTTGGTTGATTGAACTCTAATGTCCCCTTAATTCTATGAGCTATTATTTTTGTAAATAGTTTGTAGAGAACAAACAGTAAGCTGATCAGCCTATAATTTTTCAAGTCTTTGATGTCTCCTTTCTTATGGATTTAGATAATGTTGTCGTTCTTCCAAGATTCTGTTACCCTTCCCGTCAAAAGGCAGTTCGTATATAAGGTGGCCAGTTTTTATATACAATTTCTACGCCGTCCTTCATCAGGTCCGCTGTTACGTTATCCTCACCAGCAGCTTTGCCTCTTTGCATTCCTTCCTTCCCCTTCACTACTGGTAGGATGTCGAATTCCTCTTGGCTATTATTGCTTCTTACGATATCATCCTGATTGTTTTGGATTCTGTACAGCTCTTTGTAGAACTCCTCCGCCACCTCAACTATCCTATCCAGATTGGTTATGACATTGCCTTCCTTGTTCCTCAATGCATACATCCGAGTTTTGCCTATGCACAAGTATGCCTTTCCATCTTTAAGGCTTCTGCTTTTTATAACATGCTCGATCCTCTCCATGTGATAGCTTCTTATTTCGGCTACCTTGCGCCTCTTAATTTTGAAAGCTCCATTAGCTCTATTTTGTCTGTTGCATTTGAGGCCTTTTATGGTTTGTTGTCTCTTAATAATATTTTTCGTCTCCTGGGATAGTTTGCCAGTGTCCTGTCTAGTGACTGTACCTCCGACTTCTATTGCACACTCTTTGATGATCCTAGTCAGGTTATCATTCATTGTGTCAATGCTAACGTCAGTTACCTCGTTCAGAGCTGCGAATCTATTCTGAAGTGAAACTCTAAATTTCTATAATTTCCTTCTCAATGCTAGCTCATTAATTGGCTTCTTGTGTATGAATTTATGCTTTTACTTTTTTAGGTCTGGGTGAGTTCGAGCTCTTACCACTCTATGGTCATTGCATCGGATCTTGCCAACTACTTCTACATCCTGTACAAAGCTCGGGTGTTTCAAGCATTTACAGTTGTTGCCAGTGCACTGTTTTGACATTAAAACATGTCGATCCCAAAACTGGTTTGAAGTGCAGACATCTTTTGGAGTTGCTTTTGACAGCAAACACCCATTGCTTTTCAGGATGAGATGGACGTTCTATCAGGAATTGGGAGAAGACTTGCAACAAAGCCCCACCATTTTGAACGACTTGACGTGGATGCTTCAGTGGCACTCCGAATGTTTGAAGACAACAAGTGAGTGCCATTGCACTTCACATTTGCCAACTTGGGTATTGCGCAGCGGAGCAGTGGGTGATTTTTTTTCATTATTTCTGGAGCAATTTCTTTTAATGCAATAGTGTTAGAATGGCCATGACACGGTCACTCCACTATTTGTGGTATTCAACGAAAAAAATAGGTATAAAAAATGTGCATGTATATATGTGTGTGTGCGTACATGTGTGTACACACACACGTAAAATGTACTGCACAAAAATATTTCAGTACAACAAAAGGCCCAGAAGTAAACTCCACCCACTGTTGGCGACTGCCATTTTGAAATTACTTGTGTGGACTCGTGGGCTGCATGGAATGTAGCTGCCGTCTTCGACCAAAGTTTAATCCCCAAATGCAGAGATGTTACTTGACTTGTACTTGACTCGTTCTTGACTCAAGACAGTCTTGTCGCTTGTCATGAATCATTCTCGAACTTGCGTACGACTTGAAGGTGACTTGGCTCGGTCGAAGTCAGGACAAGTTTCAAGTCAGCTGCGGGGCTAGCTTGAAAGCGATTTCATGCGTTATTCCAACATGGCCACCTCTTGAATGGATGTCGCGCGGAGGGTGGCTGCTTTTGAGTTTGCTTGCCTCACCATAGGCGTGGCATATTCTGAGACGCACTGCCTGCCAAAGATTCCTCGACCCGCTTTATGTGACCGAGAAAATCCGATGGAGTTGTACGACGAGCAACAATTCCACGCTCGGTACAGATTCACGAAGAACGCCATCCGGCAACTGTTGGCTATGTTGCCGCTCCGTGAAAGTGGGGACAACCGAATATAGCCTGTGCCTCCAGTGTTACAGCTATTGATGGCGCTCAGGTTTTACGGCGCTGGCACGTTCCAAACAGTCACCGGGAATCTCGTCGGCATTCCGTAGTCGACAGTGTGCCGTGCAGTCGGAAATGTTATGCTACTCATTGCAAAGCACCTGTACACAATGCTGGTGCACTTAGCACAGCCGGCGGCACTTCCTATAGTTATGCGCGACTTTTATGAAGTGGCTCAGTTCTCTGGCGTTACAGGATAAGTCAACTGCACACTCGTGCGTATCAACAGCCCCAGTGGTGACTACGCCGAAGTGTTTCGTTACCGCAAAGGCTATTTCTGTTTCTATAAAACATGGCAACATTTTCCGTCTCTTTCGGAACAAAATTGCCTCGGCGCTGTGTCTGTGTGCCATGTCTCTTCCTTTCGTCCCATCTAGGGTGCTGTTTCTCGCTCAGAAATGCATGGCTTGCAGCACAACGCTACGAAAAATTCCACACACAAAAAAAGAGGTGCCCCTATCACGGGTTTCCTGATCATGTGCCGCCCCCTTCACTATCATGCAGCGAGACAATGCTGCACCCTGAGAGACAAAATTCTGCTGAGGGAAATGTCCTGACCCCGCTTTTTTTTCTTGTTTACCAAACTCAACAAAAGGATACGAATCACTTTTGTACCCAGAACTTGTTTTTTTATTTTTTATATATAACTGCGACCTAGCCCGCTACAAGCATGTCCACAAGCGAACAGAAAGGCGATCGTGTTACTTCGTGAGCTAGGTCAGCACAAATACAGGCCGTGGCGTTTGATTGAAAAAAACAAACGACGAAAGAACCCAACGCAATGCTTGTTTCGCCTCCAAAGAAGCAAGCGTGGAGAAATCCGCCGCATTTGGGTGGCCACTAAAACCACCGAGCAGTGGATGCTTTACAGAAGCAACACTGCGCATCGCTGCGGCGGCAGGCACCACGTGGCGCTTATTAGCCATAAAATGGCAAAAATATGCTTGTGGCACTTCGTTTTTATAGTTATTTTAAAATGTACGGTCTTTTTTTGCTGTGACACGTGCCTTACGCGAACAACTTCATTATTAACCTCGTTAGCAGGCGAGCAGCGTGTTTCTGCTTTGAAGCTCGTTCTTGACTTGACCAAGCAAGATAGCCTGAGCATCTATGAAATGCGAAGGCTGACTTGGGCGTTTTGAAGTCGGCTGCTTGCTTCACGTCGACTTACTGAAGTCAAGTCGAAGGCGCAAGCCAAGTAACATCTCTGCATCGGGGGTTAGCCTCTACAAGTCATTCAATGTTAATGCCAAGCTGAACATATCTGAAAGAGCTCGATTGCTTGCGCACCTGACCAGGGAATTTCATGTACTGCTTCTATGAGGTCTGTTAGAAAAGTGTCCGACCTTTGGTTGGAAGAAAAAAAAAAAAAAACTGGCATAATTGGAGCGTTGAAACCCTTGGGACTCCACACACTTCTCCCAGCGGTGCTGCCATTGTTCAAAGCATCTGAGAAGGCCTCTTCCAGAATGGAGTTTAGCTCAGCTGTTGTTGCAGCCATAATGCCTTCCCTTGTCTGAAATCGCTCTCCTTTCAATGTCCTCTGCAGTTTGGGAAACAGCCAGAAGTCGCAGGGGGCCAATCAGGAGAATAAGGAACCTGTTAAACTACAGGAGTCTGACGTTTCCTAAAAAAGTCTCAACCAAGTGTGAGGAATGTGCAGGAGCATTGTTTAGATGGATGCGCCAGTTTCCTGTTGATCACAACTCAGGTCTCTTGCACTGCACAGCATCATGTAGCCGACAAAGGACATCTTTGTAGTACTCTTTGATGATTGTTTGATCCTGTGGTGTGTACTCGGGGTGTACCACACCGCAGGAGTGAGAAAAAGCACTCGACATCACTTTGATGTTGAAGCGCACTTTGCAGGCCTTCTTTGGTCTTGGTGATGTGGAATGCTTCCACTGTGATGACTGGGGTTTGGTTTCCGGGCAATACCTGTGTACCCAACACTTGTCACCAGTGATAATAGTATTCGTAAAGTTAGGGTCACTGCTTGTGAAGTCCAGCATGTCCTGTGAGACTTCAACACGAAGTTGTTCTTGCTCTACTGTGAGCAGTTCTGGCACGAATTTTGCTGCAACTCTTTTCATGGCCAGATCTTCAGTCATAATGGAATGTGCAGAGAAGGTGTTGATGCCTACCCTTTTTGCAATTTTCCGGATAGTCACACGATGGTCCTGCATCAACAGTGTTCACTTCGGCAATGACCTGGTCATTTCAGCATGTTGATGGCTGACCGGAGCATGACTTGCTTTCCACCGATATGCGGCCGTCTTTGAACCGATTGTACCACTCCTTAATCTGTGTGCTGCTCATAGTGTCGTCATCGAAAGCTGTCTTGAGCTTCCCAATGGTTTTCACTTGGCTGTCGTTCAGTTTCTGGCAACATTTGATGCAGTAGCGCTGCTCCAGTCGCTCCGTCATTTCATCCTCACAGCGACGGATTCAATAGCATCCTCACAGCGACGGATGCTATTGTCAGATGAGAAAAAATTCACGCATGTGCACGAAGGTTCAAGGTCGGCTGATGCAAGCGCGCCTGTTTCAAATCCATCAAGTGCTTGCAAAAAAAATAAGGTCGGATACTTTTCTAACAGACTTCGTACATCTTTGCATGCTTTGCCTTGCTTTTATAGCGTACAGTAAAAGCTCGTTAATTTCGAGCTCGAAGGGAACTGTAAGGTTGTTCGAATTAAGCAGAGTTGTAATCATCACGCACGCACTAGAATGAACGGACGTCACACCCCACTGGGCGGGCAAAACTCAAAATAGGAATTCCTGGACTCATTATCATGAACTAGGTGCTGCCACACCTTTGTGGTAGGTTATTTTGTAAATTAAGTTCTAGGAGTTATAACAGCGAGCAGAATTAGTTGATCAGTCAACACGTCAAAAACAAGCACTGAAATGCGTTCATGTGAGCAGTAAGCATTAAGTTGAAATATATGAAACTATTTATGCTTCAAAACACGTTTATTTACTGCCCCACCGCTGTGGTCTAGTGGCTAAGGTACTCGGCTGCTGACCCGCAGGTTGCGGGAACGAATCCCAGCTTGGGTGGCTGCATTTTAGATGGACGTGAAAATGCTGTAAGCCCGTGTGCTCAGATTTGGGTGCACGTTAAAAAAACCCCAGGTGGTCCAAATTTCTGGAGCCCTCTATTACGGCGTCTCTCATAATCATATGGTGGCTTTGGGACACTATACCCCACATATCAATATTATCACTTTTATTAAATGGCTCAGTTAATGTAGTCAAATTTGAAGGTAATCAGTAATTTCCATTTGCTTGCGTTTCTTCTGACACGACTCCACGAGCATCGTTTGCAGCTTGCCCAAGAGCTCCAGGGCAGCCTCTGAATAGTCATATTCTGAGAAATGCGCTACTCTTTTATTGTTTTTCATCTCTATTAGATTTACTTTGGCTTGTTATCGCAACACTTTGTGATCACTGAGGGCGGACATGTGTAAGGAGTGATGAAAACTAGGGACTCTAAGTTTGAATTGACCGTGAGGAATATACAGGGGTTCGCCGGTACCCGAGTGTCAGTTCGAATAACTGTAAGTTAAACCAATCAATCAATCAAAAATGTTTATTTATTGCAAAATATATAAATGCATTGGGGTTAGTATATACAGAAGGTCCCAGAGTATAAAGCTGAAAGGGACTTCCTGTAAGAAATATGCATGTTGATAAGTACAATAAAATGGCAACTAAAGAGTGGCAACTGTGGCTAAAGTCAAATTGACAGAGTTTGAATTAACGAGCTTCTACTTTATCTTATGCTTGTGATTTAATTTGCATCTTTTGCGCTAATGAATATCTTAGGGTATCTTCGGGAAAGCGCACCGGTGCACACCAACCGTCTTCGGTAACCAGGGCGCATCCTGTTGTGGCACTTTTTTTTTTTTTTTTGCTCCGAGGTGCTCCGAAAAAATTAGAGGAGCGACGCTGTGCAGCTCTAGCATTCGTTGCGTGCCGCGCGCATAGTAGACGATCAGCAGACGATGCGCAACGGCTGGTATTCCATTTGCCCGTCCACAGAACCGGGGCGTTATGCCCCTTTTTTGTTTTGAGGAAATTCTAGTCTGCTCTGCGACTGCTCCGGGGCACAATTCCTGAAGATGCTATTACTTTTGTTAACCCCTCTGTGATTTGTTGTCCGGCACCTTCTAACAATGCAGCAACATGGCTGAAGTGGTCCATTGTTGGGCACCATATGCTGCGAAAATATAGCTAAAAGGCTTGAGCACAATATGAACTGCATGAATAAACATCCAATGCTTTTTTCTTTCGTACTGATCAGAACTGGAGATTTTTTTTTTTTTTTGCTGAAATGTTGGTAAAAGTTTTGGACTGCAAAAGGTTAATGTGTCTTCATTTCTGTATCTTTGTGTATGCACTTACTGTACTTCCCCTCTTGCACAGCGGACCACGAGGACTTTGTTAGATACTTATAAATAAAAAATAAGTAACTAGTGTCAAGTTGAGAAAAGAAAAATGTGCTGGGAGACATATGGTGCACAGATTTTAGTAAAGGTTAAGCTGATTTTTTTTGTGCTGCATATACAGTTGCACATCTACTAATTACAACCCGAAGGGACCAACAAAATTGGTCTAATTAAGCAAGAACAAGAAGAACACTCTTCTGATTAATTTGGTTGTAGTATTTGCCCCATTGTTATACTTCCCCCACATGAACATGTGCCCGCGTTCTATAGGATCAAAGTAGGAAATCAACATAGGAATTACACTAGAGTGCTTTAGCTATGTAGAAATAGTATATGCATCGTTTCTTAAGAAGGAAATAGTGACAAGTAGTTTGATTGAGACAGTGAAAAAATGACTAAACCAGTATACCTTATCTTTATAGAATGAAATTTTATATAATTTTTGTCATCACTCTCGGGCATCAAGTAGGCTTGTGCGAATATTCAAACACTTTGAATATTCGAATACATAGTACAGTATTCGAATTCACTTCGAATTGAAAAATTTGAAAACGAAGGGATAGATGTAAATTAATCTGCATATGAACTTTGTAAAGGTTGTTTCGTTGCAGTGGAGGTGTGCTAAGTTGTAAAAGCACCTATTCGGCTATTAAGTCACATGTAATTTGCTGTAAAAATGGTTCCACTGCTGTGAGGGGGTGCTAAGCTATGAAAACATTAATCTAGGGGAAATCTGCAATGCTGTGAAGCCCTATTTTAAGGTTAAATGAACATATTATCCTCACATTGATTCACCATGCCCATTTCATCAGTTTTAAATCTTGTTATACCAGCTTATATACACTCTGTATCTTAAATTTTACAACGTAACATATTTTGCTGGTTATCACTTGCATTCTACTGAAAGTTCAATCTTGCTACTATTCAAGGTTGTTTCCACTTTCTTTAAGCCAAAAAGAATGGCATTTGCCCAGGCATTATTTCAATATTTAACATATATTCGCAGGTTAGTTGGGTGATCACAAATAAGTTCATTTTTCTTTATGAAATGTGACATACACTATTCAAATTGGATTCAAAATTATTCTAATGAAATCACTGTTTGCTTCAAATTCGATTCGAACCTAAAATTCACTATTCACACAAGCCCACTACGGAGAACGAAATACATTGTTTGTGTTATGGTCAGTAACACATTTGATGTCCTATTTTTTTTTATCAAACAGCTCCTTAATCATGTCTAGTCTGTTGTGGCCCACGCTTCAAAAACCACATTGCTAGTCTGTCCGGTCCCACGTGTTATTGGGCTGTGGAATGGCTAGAACGTGTGATGCAACTTGTTATCATATATTGAAAAAGTAAAGTAGCTTATAGTTTGAATGTGGGCATTCATAATCAGACTGATTGTGGCATATTGTTGTTATGCTGTTAAGAATCGCCACCATGTTTGGTCACCATCTTATCGTGGCAGTGGGGACGATTAGGTTATTGAGAATACAGCTTTGGTGTCACTTCGAATTACACTGCCTGATGAATTTTCTAATATAATAAAAAATTAATGAGGCATGCTTTAGAGTTGAATAACTGCTGTAATAATGCATTATGAACTACTGCTGTCATGATAAAATATTCCTGGGGCTGGTAGAAAATTATCGACATTGACAGGAAATGACTGGCTAGATGCATTTACTTCACCCTAAGCAGAGACAGATGCTAGTTAAAAATTGACAGGAGATGATTGGCTATATGCATTCGCTTTACCCTAAGCAGAGACAAATACTAGTTCATTTTGCATCATTACTACTGCCACCATTTTGCTCAGGCATGTGTGAGATGATTAGGTAAGACTTCACCTGGGAATAAATTATCTAAAGTACTCTGTATTTGTGTCCACTTGTCTCTGAACAAGCGTTTACTGAGAGAATATGTCTTTCACGTAAGGGCAGCATGTGTTAAGATTTCTTAACAGCCTGCTGGCACTGCCAAATAGAAGTGAAATGCCCTTTTTTTGTGTCACAGGTATAAGGCTGAGCAAATTCCTAGAATCGCAGCAGCATCACCAACCGGTAACACAGTCACATTGTACCGTTTGCTGGACCATGTGGACATCAGTTCCGGACCCATGATTGGGTCTCTTGATCACATGAGCCGTTTCAAAATTGTTGCGGTAAGTGATGGTAGAGAGGCTTTTCAGTTTTGCATCTGGTGTAGCAAGTTCCTAATATTACTAGTGCATACCTGCCAACTCTCCAACTCTTCGGATTTACCCGAGACTCCTGATTTCTGACCCGTCTTCCTGTTTGTACGGTCACGGCTATATATCTGTGCATAAACTGATTCAACCCAGTATTGGGGGAGGGGGAGAAACAAGCAAAAAAAAAAACGAGCTGCTGTAAAGCAAGATCCGATGATTATGCCCAGTTTGTCATGGGCATGGTAACAGTTGAGAAGCTGAAATGCTTTTATAGTAACAGTTTTTAATCAGGCCGCTGACCTGCTTCTAATGTACAAGATCGGAGAGATTGTATGCAGGACATTTGTGTTGTCTACAGGCAATATCAGGCAATATCACAGGCATCGCTCGAAGCAATTTTTCTGCCCCCCTCCTCCCGCCTCTGTGGTCTCCTGATTTCAGAAATCTCTTGGTTGGCAGGTATGCTGATGACATCTGTTTAAATTTATAAAAAGATATCAATATAATGTTAGCAGTTTTGCTTTATATTATTGAATCCTCTCTGCAAATGTTTCACACAGCAAAAATCTACTGCTAGTGAACTTATAGGCATTCACTTGAAATTTGCTTGAAACTGCATTGCTGAAAAAGTACCGTACTACAATGCTGAAAAAAATTGCAAACCAATGAGTGAATTTTTTCCCCTTTTTTAGGTTTATCCCATGGACACTTCTATAGGGCTCCTTTATCGATTTCAGGGCTTGGCCATACCGAGCTCATTTTCTGTAAGATCCCTTTGTTGTTTGTTGCAAATGTTGTTATAGAACCCTCATTTATTTGTTGGTACTAATTTTTTTACAATCAGTGTATTTGTACCTTTGCTTGATTACAGATCAGTGAATTTGCATATAATGTCTGCTGTGAACGTGCACAAAGAATGGTAAGTCTTATGTGAGTAACAACAAATTTGTAAGTAGCGATTTTCTTTAGACCATGCAGATTTCTGTTAAACAATTTTAAGTGTAGCATATGCAGTATTTTTGTACAAGAATAGTAATCTGAGCCTGAGTGCTTTTGTATTAAGCTGAGAAGTCTATTTTCAGTCCAAATCAGTCTTTAAAGCCCTTGCAAACCCTGAAATTCTAATATAGCATTTTCAAGGCCTTGAAAACCATTAAATTTTCAGGAGGTTCTTGATACTGATAGATATGTGGGGTTTAACATACCAAAACCGACGTATGATTATGAGAGACGCCGTAGTGGAGGGCTCCGAAAATTTTGACCACCTCAGGTTTTTTCACATGCGCCCGAATCTGAGCACACGTGCCTACAGCATTTTCGCTTCCATTGAAAATGGAGTTGCTGCATTTCTGAAGGTTCTTGAATGTCCTCAAATTTTGTTAAAGGGGCCGTGCAACACTTTTTGAGCATGGTCAGAAAATGCTGCTGATCGGTAATAGAGGCTCCCGACTACACGCAAGCCAAATATTATAGCGCAGCACGCGGCCTGGATTTCACAAGAAATTATCCAAGTCAGCTAAAAATTGCATTCTCTTCTCTCGACAAATCACGCAATAAGCCCAAAAATCACTCGTAGTAAGCCCATCTATCAGCCATTAGCTGATTTGAACATGGCGCACTCGGTCGTTACAGAGATCACCGCGGAAGGCCGTCACTTGTCCACGCACGTGCGTGCGATCACACTGAAAAAGCCACATATTCGAAGGAAAAAAAAAATGCTCAAGGTCACAAGGCGCGCGTGACATTTTTTGTTTGTTCCTCCCATCTCTGCCTGCTTAGCTTCCAGTGCTTTCGTTGAGACGAGAAAAGAGAGAATGGGATTGCAGCGTGTGATAAATCATTGTGACTCCGCTCGTACTGGATGAATTTTTAAAATTTATGCGGAATTGAATTTCTGAGGCAATATGCTTTTCCAGTGAATTAATTGTATGGTTACTCAAAAAAGTGTTGTAGGGCCCCTTTAATACATTTTCGTCCAGTCAGCTTTTAGAACATGATTTTTAAACAGGCCTGTCTGAATATTCTTCAGCGTATTACAGCAGTTGAAAATGCTTCGATGTGAATGAAAAATTTCAAAGTACTATTTGGAACAGACTTCTGCCACATGTACTGGGCCCAGAAAGGTGGTCAGCATAAGGCTTCTACGCTGCAAACCTTGCTTTCCAGGGGAATTTCACACTGCTGCGAAGCCACGCCTCAAGGTTAACTGCCCATACTATCATTTGCGCCCCAATCATCATCATTTTTAGAAGTGTTTTAGACAGGCTAAATATGGCCAATTTTAAAGCTTCCCGTTTTTGCTGCATATAAGGTGCACCCTACTACTATTCAATTTTTGCTCCCATTTAAGTTTACATTGAACTGAAAAAGCGAGATTTGCATGTACTCCCTCGCCTCTCCCCCCCCCCCACATGCATATATATATCTACTGGGTGTCCCAGCTGACTTGTTCCAAGATTTAATAAAAAACACAAAAATTAAGTGCTCCAAGAAGGTTTGTATTTAAAGGGACACTAAAGTAAAATAACAATTTGCGTCAGAGTGAAGGCTCAATGCATGACAACATCTAAAACTACAATATTATGAACAGCAGTGCCTACTTACCGAGAAATTAAGGTAAATGCACAAGAACACAAGCGTCGCAGTAGGACGCTCTCAAATTGATACTGATGACGTCAGATGAACTGCCTACAATTAATCACTAGTAATCGATCTAGCTGCACTAGACTTGTGCAAATATTCGAATGCTTCGAATATTCAAACGAATAGTAGGGTATTGGAATTCGTTTCGAATTTAAATTATTGAAAATTTCGAAGTATTCACAAGGAACGAATAAATGCATAATAATCCAAATGTACTGCCTGTAAAGGTGGTTTTACTGCATGGTTTTACTGCAGTGAATAAGTGCTGAACCATGAAAGCACCTATGCAGGAGAAATCCGCTCTGCCGCGAAGCTCCTCTTCGAAATTAAAGGGGCCATGTAACACTTTTTGAGCATTGTGAGAAAACGCTGCCGATCGGTAGTCGAGGATACTGAGGACATGCAAGCGAAATATTATAGTGCAGCCCGCAGCCTGGAATTCACAATAAATGATCAAAATCAGCTAAAAATTGTTCTCTTCTCTCGGCAAATTATTCCACAAGCTCGGAAAGCATGCGTGACATATTTTCTTACCCCGTGCCATCCCTCCCTGCTTAGATTCCAGTGCTTTTGTCGGGACAAGAAGAGAGAATGCACTTGCAGCATCCGACAAATCTTTGCAACTCCATGCGTGCTGGACGAATTCTAAAAATTTTTGCGGCGATGAATTCATGAGACAATGAACTTCTTTAGTGAATCCATGTCATGGCTACTTAGAAAGGTGTCGCACAGCCCCTCTAAATGAAAATATTACCCTCATATCAATTCATTTTGTTAAGCTTAAAAGGTTGTTATGATGGCTTATATGCTGTGGGTATAGCAAATTTTTAAATGATACGTATTTTAAGGGTTATGACTAGCATCCTGCTGAAAATTATATCCTGTTACTACTCAAAGTTGTTTCGAGTTTCTTTGAATGTAAAAAAAAACAAAAAAGACATGGCATTTGCATATCGGCCCTATTTCAGTTCTTAAAAATTTTAATATTGTGCAGGTTGGTTGGTCATGATAAATATGCCTATTTTTTTTTACATGTCATATATACTATTCGAAACTATTCAACCAAAATAGCTATTCGCTTCGAACTTTGAATTCACTATTCGCACAAGCCTAAGCTGCACTAAATAAAGAACCTCCTGTGCATCAAGAGAGGCAATAAAATGCTGCTTGTTCGTTTCTGTTTGATTCTTGGAAAAACAAATCCGGACATCGCTATGGGGAGTGGCGCGAGTGGTTCAAAAATTCAATTTTCGCGTGTTTGAATTGCACAGGTTGTGTCATATAGCGGGGCGCAGTTGAACCCAAACCCGTCTGCCATCTCAGAGCCAATGGCAGGGAATTGATCAATCACCTTTGTTGCTGTTGTGGCTCCCACTGTTTTCGTTCTCTCTACTAGTGTCGGCGACCCCGCGGTAAAGGCGGGAAACGTGCACGGCAATAGTGACGCGAGTCGGTCTGCTTCTTGAGGCGGGTAAATTTAAGAGTGCTAATCAGATTCGGGCTACGAAAACATGATTTTATTTCAAAATAAGCCCTTTTTGGCACAAACGTAACACTACAATGTTTCTGGACCTCTGTTTCAACAATCAACGTCGACTTAATAGTTGCCTTTAGTGTCCCTTTAAGGTAGTTTTGTGTACATACAACCTGCATTCTTTTATGACTTAGCTAATTCATTAACATTAATTAGCAAGATTTTTGTTTTTAATGAGTAAATTGAGTAAAGTACCAAATAACTCCATAATGAAGCATTTAATGTGTGCTGAAATCTTTCTGGTTGTTTTTTGTGAGAAGATACAAGCACGTGACACACGCCAAATATGAAAGATGTTCACTCGCACATCGCTACTCTAGCGCTTCCAAAGGTTCCTTGATTGACAGATGGCTGCATTTGTTCATCACTGCATTCTCCAGGGCTTAGTGCGTTAGGATGGACACGTCATGGTGTGTTTCGTTCAGCATCTATTAAATAGCATGAAGCACTATGCAAGGAACCAACGAAGCAGTGTATAAATCAAAAAGTGCTTGGAAGTGCTGTAGTAGCAGCGCGTGTCTATTGTGATGCAAAAATGGTGTAAAGAAAACCTGTATGCTTCATTTTTGTCACATATAAAGCAAGAGACCCTCCATCAAAACTTTTGGCTGATATTAATATTTTAAAACTAGCAAGTAACAAAAAAAGCCCTAAAAGTAAAGCTAGCTCCTGTACTTGCTTTAAACTGACTCTCAAGAAAATGGATCTGCTGCCATCTTCCATAATCCTCTGAGGGTCGAGTCCTTTTTTTACGGTACGTGTTCCAAAAATGATTATTTTCTTTTGATTGCTAAAATAAATTTTTGTAAAAATTTCTTTCAAAAAAATTCTCTAAAATTTTTTATGGGGACCGTAAAGTGGCCAAAAAATAATTTGTGTTGTTACATACACATGGTTTATTCATTAACAAAAAGATAAGCTCTAAAGAAACAGCTGCACAACTGATAAAAAATTAGTCATTGAAATACATGTGCATAGTTCACAGACGTACAAAAATAAATGCACAAAGTAACGTTAAATAAAACACGGGGAAGAAAAGTCACTTATCCAGTCAGTATCATCGTGCCGCTCACGCGTTTGAGATGTCGCTCACTCATCTACATCTGAGTCTTAACTCATGTAACTCCCGCATAAAGGGCTTAAATTTACTGAGTCTGATACTGATACGGTCGTCAAGCAGCGATTTGTCGGAATCGCCGCTAGACTCGTTGTGGCAAAGAAACAGGCACGCCACTTCCATAGCGAAAGCAAACTGCGCATTTGAACACACTTTAAAAAAACTGTAATTATGAGCACGTTCAGAAATTAAAAACAAGGCCGAAGCCTATCATAATCCTTTGTCTTATCGCCAACAAGACGGAAGTGGTTTTTGCGAGTCCCCAAAATAGGAAATGCAACCACAGCCGCATCGTTTGCGTCAGTGAGCGGCTGCGTGAAAACGGGTCTCATCTCGTACTGGGGAGCAATAAATGAGGAAGTAAGAAATCTGTCATTTTTTTAAAGGTTCTGAACTGGAAAGCTATTAATTTTGCGGGCGCAACAAGCGAGAACCAGTCAAAGAATGAAACGAAAATTAGCCAGTGCACCTCTGTAGTAAAGCATTGAAAAAAAGGGGGGGAAGTGGGGAGGGGGGAGGGACATTGTTGCAATTAAGAAATTCCACGCAATCATGCAGTTTGGCAGCACATGCCAAGCAAAAGAAAAAGGAGTGCATTTTAAAAAATACAGGCAGTGACATACATGTGCCTCTTAGAACAGTTTGACGCTGTAAGCAGATGACATACATGTACAGTGTGCTTTTTTATGAAAGGGAACACGTGAGGGCATAGCCTGAGCTCTGCAACGGATGTGATGGCTGCCCGCAGTACTATTTACTAACAGCTAAAGAAAGCGCATCCACTCTTGGTGTCATCTGTTAACAAACAAAAGAACAAATCATGGGGCCATCAGACAAATGATTGTAGGTTATGCTGGTGCTGTGGTCTTGCAACAGGCCGAAGGCGTCGAAAGTGAATGCACTTACTTTAGCTGTAGGTAGATGGTGGTGTAGGCAGCGGCAGCAGAGCGCGGGTCATGAGCTCGTGTGTTTTCTTTCATAAAAAAGGACTGTGTACATATTTGACCTTCAAAGGTTTAAGACATTGTCATGAAACAAACTTATTTTGCAAGTAGTAAAAGGTTTATGAATTCATTTTTCAATGCAGGGTCGTAGATTTGAATGCGAATAACCATGCACGTCGTCACTGGAAGCTGGAAGTCTAGTTCTGCTAGCATGGAATACATTCTCTCACACTGGGACTGTAATAGAAAAAGATAGTCAGTGAGTTGCTTTGTCTGCACAAACACAACCTCTCTTTTGTTTTTTTTTTTCAGAATTACACAGGCCTTCCAAAGACTGAGTTTGAAGCTGATGAGGAACCCAGTGAAGACAATGTGCACTTTGAAGATGTGAGCGCTGAAGATGAACATGTTGAAAGCAAGATCACAAGTGACAATGTTGCAGCTGCCCCCAAAGACTCAGCACCTGCAGCACCTAACCGCGCCTCTTCTAGCTGAGAAGTTAGGAACAACTGTAGCTATGTTATGATAAAAGAATAACACTTCTGAATGTGGTGTATCTGTGGTCAGTGCCCTGTGCACATGGAATAGAGTATTGGGCTCTAGCATCTATGTTTCGAGAACCTGTGGTGCTCTCATAGCCATGATGGTTGAGGCACCATTTTCATTAGTGGGTGCCAAAGCTTGAAAAGCCACAAAAGCTATATTGTGATCATCATCATCATTTTTGTCCACTGCAGGACTAAAGCCACTCACAATCATCTCCAATTTACCATATATGTATTAGCTGGTTCTATTCTGTGATCACAAACTTTTCGATTTCAAGAAAGTTTAACTCGCTGCTATTCTCCAAATAAATTTCTTTCCCTTGGAGGTGCCCCTCTTTACAAAAAAAAAATGAAGAATTTTCTGAGAACTCCTTTCATTTAATGCTCACGAGTCCGCTTCTCATACAACAACTCAAGGCTGTCCAGAAGGCCCACGATGCGGCGGTGAGGCTGGGCCTCCCCGTCCCAATGTGGGAGCGGCCCGCGATCCTACCCCTATAAAACGGGGGTGGAGTCCTTCAGGACCCCAATAAAAGTTTTTCATCCATCCATCCTTGGTATTGATTCCGTTGCTATAGCTAATAGTTGGTTGTGTTAACATATCTGAGGGCGAAGAGTGTGCCGTCGGTCTGGCGATTTTCCACGCTGCCGTAAACATTCCTCACACAGATGTTATTCTAATCTTTACAGACTCAATGGATACCTGCCATGCCTTCACACGGGGTATTGTCTCACAGCACACACACCGAATTTTGAACACCGCATTACACACACCACACAAGTTCCGACTTGTCTGGACCCCTGGGCCCGCCTTTCTCCCCAGTCATGACTGCGCTCATGCAGCTACCTGAGCACTCACTAACCGGGATCCGGAGGAAGAGCTGTCCAACCCAGATGAGGAGGACACAAACGCGGAACTTCTAGGATATCGAGACACTCTCGATTACTATAGACGAGAATGCATTCGGTACCCTCCACCACACCACACGCTCATACGAGAAGATGCAATTGTGGTGCATCCTGCAGGTGAACACATTTCCGAACCACTATTTCCTCAACATCCTCCATCCCACTTGTTACCCTGACAAATGCCCTGGCTTTGGAGCGGTACTGAGGTTATTTCACATAACGCTAGAATGTCAGCGTCCGCCTGCTAGGTGCTCTGCCAACTTTTCTCCTATTCCTACCCTACAAGACTGGGAGGCCATGCAGCATGATGAAAGCCCGAGTGGCCAGCAGGCGCTGGTTCGGCGGGCGCGGGACGGAGCAGCGGCTGTTGGAGCTCTGGACTGAGAGCCCCACCCAACATTTTTCTATGATTGAAATAAAAAGTTTCTCGCTCACACCCATTCCTTGAACATTTCTTAATGTCACGCGGTCCCCTGTCAACTGTAATATCGACCCACTCAGCTGTCTTGAGCTCTTAATTTTATGACTATCATTTTTCGTTCTGCCGCACACTCGTTAGTCCTTAACTGTTTCTGAAGTTTCATCGTCCTCCAAGTTTCAGCCCTATTTACTAGTAGTGGCAGTATAGGATGATCGCACACTTTTTGCTAGGGACAGTGGCATATTGTCTGTCATGGTTTGTGAATGGCTGCTCCAGCCTATTTTTATACTTCCATGAATTTTCTTTTCATGAGTAGGCTCTGCTCTTAGTAATTGACCTAGATCAGGGACCTTAAACTCACCTCAAGTGGCAGGCCTTAGTCAAGAAATTGTCTCCAGCAAGGGTCGGTACAGAGAAGGTTGGAGTGGGTGGAAGAGAGAGACTGCTTGACAAAATGGCAGCTAACATTGCTATTTGATAGACTACCTTTCCCATATCTCCTATGGGGGTCATTTCTAAAAGGAATTCGACATCAGGCTCCGAAAAGCATATACCGATCTCCAGAATGACTGAAATCTGAACACATATTTCAAATTGCAAAGTTTTTTTTCCATAGTGATGTTTAACGAATGGTGACCACATGGGATGCCCTACAAAGAAGTGTGGGACACCAGTAATGTCTGTAGCTCATAAACATAAGTGTTATATATGCGACGAAAACAATTATGTTTGAGCAGGGCCATTAGCAAGGGATCCTGTGAACCAGCCGTGTTTGAGACCCCCGACTTAGATGTACCTATATACTCTGGTACAGATTTTAAAGGCTGGTTGCTAATTATGAACTATTGTTGTTCTGCCTTGCTATTGATAATACTTTTTAATTGCTTATTTGTCTTCAATCTTACTTTAGTTGAAGTTGTCAATAATAACTTTTTATCATTTGTTGCCATTACTGCTGAAGTAGGTCACATCGTCTTTAAATTACCAGTTGCTGAGGTAATCTCCATTAATTTTTATTCCTATTTCTTCACAATCTAGAAGTTTGAATACTTCTAAGGATGCACTGAACATAGGAGAGATTGTATCTCTTTGCCTAAAAACTTTCGCAATCGTAAAAAATAACAGCGTAAAAATCGATAAACAAACACTCAGAGACAAACGAGCATTGTTTTGTGTATATGTGTTTGTTTGTTGGTCTTTATGAGGTTATATTTTATGATCATCAATAACTTACTTGCCTAATTTAATGCCATTGCGAATTTCACAATCAATATCTTTCTTCAAAATTATGAAAAAGCAAGGCCGTTTGAAGCTTTCGATGTTGGCTGAGGTATTCACATACAGTACATTAAAGTACTATTTAACCACAATGTGCCCCAAAAAACTGCTGGAATATCTGCTATGAGTAATGTTTTTTTTGTCTATAAAACCATTAAAGGGATTTATTGTTCTCTGCAGATTCCTGAATTACTTTACTGGTTTAGTGACGCTGACGGATTATTTTTTACCTTTTGCTCAAAGCAGCCTTAGGTTGGTTAAGGTAAAGTTTTTCTCTTATCCTGTTTGACATTACCTTCTTGAATATTTTGTGTAATACTGAAAGTAAGCTGATGGGTCTACGATTTCTTCAAGTCTTTAATGTAGTAATAATATATGAGGTTTTACGTCACAAAATCCTATGATTATGAGATATGCCATCGCGGAGGGCTCCAGACATTTTACCACCAGGTGTGCACTGACAGAGCATAGTACATGGGCCTCTAGCATTTTACCTTTATTGAAATGTGACGGCCGTGGCCAGTATTTTATGTCTCCCTACTTGTATATTAATATATTGTTGGTTTGGTCCAGTCAGTTCGATTGCACCAACATTATAGATTTGAGGTTCTAATGCATTTTGTGTCAAGTATCACAAGCTCCTTAAATATATTAGCTTTCTCATACCAGCTATTATGCTGTTTCTTTTGGCTGCTTTCCCCTAGGACATGTCTTGTATAGCCTTTCTAATCTCATTAATAGTTAAGATATGTTGCTTTTTTGTCAGGTCTGACTGATTTCACTCAAGGTTAGATTACTTATTTACAAGCCATATGGTTCATATTAGAACTATTGTACAACTTTCACTGTTAATAAAGCAGCTAAAAAACAATGCCCTGCTAACTAACTAGAGTATGAAGTTGGGCAGGTTGGTAAGACGATGATGTAGTGCGTAAAATATGTGAGACACAGGACAAGAAAAGGCACAAAGGGGAGCACTTACTTCCAACAAGCAGAGAGGATTTGTAGATTAGGATTGAACTGCATCAGCACGGTTTCTCTCCGTATTTGTGAAAAAGAATTGTCCTTTCTGAGATTGTAAGATCTTCTTGCATGGCAATTGTGGCTTTCTAATGTGTTTTGTCTGTTTTTCGCATTTCGTGAGCATATATTTGTACGCTCTTCGAAATGAAATTTTGTTGAGATTAAGCACTCCTTTTGTCCCTTCCCTTCTCCTGTGTCTCACATATTTTACATGTGCGATGATGTTTATTCGAACAGAGGAGTCGCAACGAGGTCGCGACAGAAAATGGGCGAACAGCAAGTCTGGCAAAGGCGGCACAGGTTCTCGCGCAATCAGACCACGGGCTTTTCGTTGTCTTCCGAAGGCGCATACGCGTTGGTGCGTATGCTCCACTACAATACCCCCGGGGTGAAGGGTAGCCATCCTGGCGACTCAGGGAGTAGGCACAATGAGGGGGTCGTAGTAGGGCTTGAGACGGTCGACGTGTACGGTCTCGCGTCCTCGACGGCGCAAATCTGGCGATTGTGTTAGGGGCTCGATGATGTAATTCACCGGCGAGGTTGCGTCAATGACACGGTATGGACCATGGTACCGGGCCAGAAGTTTAGAAGACAGGTCAGGAACGTGCGGGGGCACCCAAAGCCACACGAGGGAGCCAGTACGAAACGTAGGCGCTATGTGATGAACGTCGTCATGTCGGGTTTTTTGTAGACCTTGAGCCTCACTTGTCAGAGACCGAGCCAACTGACGGCAGTCTTCAGCGTATCTGGCGACTTCCGAAAGTGGGGAACACTCAGATGCATCAGGGCGGTACGGTAGTATAGTGTCGAGTGGGTGGAAAGGTTCGCGGCCGTACAATAGAAAGAACGGGGAAAAACCGGTAGTCGCTTGCGTAGCGGTGTTATAAGCGAAGGTAACAAAGGGCAATACAGCGTCCCAGTTAATGTGGTCGGAGGAGGTGTACATCCTCAGCATGTCGCCAAGTGTGCGGTTGAACCACTCAGTAAGACCATTTGTCTGTGGATGGTATGCGGTAGATTTCCGGTGGATAATGTTGCATTCAGCGAGGATAGCTTGGATGACCTCCGACAGGAACACTCGACCCCTATCACTGAGTAATTCCCGCGAAGCACCATGGCGTAGAATGAAGCTGCGGAGAATGAAGAGTGCAACTTCGTGGGCGGTCGCTGCCGGTAGAGCTGCAGTCTCAGCGTGGCGTGTCAGATGATCGACTCCGACAATAATCCACCGGTTTCCAGAGCTACTATATGAGAGGGGGCCATAGAGGTCTATACCCACGCGGTCGAATGGGCGAGCCGGGCACGGGAGCGGCTGTAACATGCCAGTAAGGTGCCGCGGAGGTGTCTTGTTCTGTTGGCAAGTGGTGCAAG